GGTGGGGGTAGCGGTAGGGGTAGCGCTAGTGACGGTTGGCAGTGGTATACTGGGAGCAGTGGCAGGAGTCGTCGTCATATCAGCAGCAGCAGCAGCAGCAGCAGCAGCAGCAGCAGCAATAGTAGCAGCGTGGTTGTGGCGAATGTTCTTGTTGGTGCTGGTTGGAGGGTGGGGTGCTGGTGGTTGTCCGTTGATGCTGCTGCTTGCCGTGTGCTTTTGATGCGATTCTAGGTGCTGCGCCAGGATACCTGGGAGCCGCTTGCGAGGTGCACGCAGCTTTTTCGACGGCATCGGGAAGTCCAGACGGAGGCCGGTTCCTGCAGAAAGGAGCATGTTTTCTCGCAGCCTCCCTTCCCACAAGGCTCCTTCGGAACCCCAGCGGAGGGCTTCTGTCCCTACGCTGTGGTGTCTAAACACCGACACCACCCCTTCGAAACAAAGGTGGGGCTCGTTTGATCCGGGTTTGCGGTCTGAAGACTTTTGGGTCGTACATGTTGCAGGTCTGGAGGTATCTGACGGCTGTTCAGGGATCTGCATCCAGCACTAGGTGTGACGGGCACACCTAAGCAATTTGCCTACCTGCCACCAACATCATGCACGGTTTGCGGGGAAGGGAGTAGGTGCGAGTCTCCTGTGTCTAGAGGACATACTTGCTGAACAACCTTCAGACTTGGGCATCCTTGCCAGGGTATCCGCACCTTCAGCAAAAATGGCCGGCTTGAACTCGTCCGGAACGCTTCCGTGCATGATAGGGCTGTCCCTGGACAGCAGGTGAGCTAGTCAACTTGTCAAGCTCGCGCCCTCTTGCACACTTTGCAGCCTATCGAAAGACTGATCTTTCTGAAGCCCCGGATCGCCTGTAACGATCGATGTGTGCCTGCTGCCCTTGATGTGGTCCGCTCCAACTCACTGAACACACCTGGCCGTCTTGCTTGCGGATGCCAGCGGTACAAAGGCTGTGTTTCCGCCTTCGCACTGGGCAAGACCCACTTCGTGTAGCCGTCGAAGATCTGCCAAAACAACTGAACCTGATTGCAGACGTCAAGAGGACAAAACCGGATGACTTCTCCTTCTTTCGCGTGCCTGCGGCTCATCCACGAGGTTTACGAAGGCGTAGCCGAGGTTTGCCTTCGAGCGGAAGTCCTTGGTCTTCAACGTCTTACCCCACAGTAGCAGCTCTCAAAGAGGTGCTGCCAGGCGGCAATGGGCAAATAGATGAAATCGTAGGAACCCTTGAAGCCCTCCTTGTCCATCATCGTGCAAACCTCTGCTACTTTGCAGAGTTCTGGGCTCCGCCTTGCGTTGACAACACGACCGGATCCAGATAGGCCGCAGGCCATGTTCCGGGTGTAGTTGTTGGGCAAGTTCCGCAGCATCACGGTCGTGCGCTGTGTTCGCGGCCCTGGTGCTGGCAGCGCCGGCAGCAGCTGCACCGGCCGTGGCGCGGGGACCTGGAAGGACATGGATCTGACTTTTTGCAAAGCGGAGGACCAGGACATAAGACCACGAGACGAAAGCCATCAGACGAGACAGCTGCTTTACTGTTGTGAACATCCGCAATGGACTCACCGGCTAGCGGGTGCGGGGAGTAAAAGGAACCCGGTTTGGGAGTAACGGAAACCATTTCGGAAGGTCGTAACCGGAACGGGGGATAGTAGAAACAGGAACCACCCCGGCACTGTAGCACGAACTGTCCCGGGAAACCAAGCAACCGAAACAGGGGGACCGGTTTTCGGCCCCTTTCTTTGACAGGTTCTCACACGTACGCCTCCCAGTCCACATCCACAGACGCGAGCTTCTGGAGCATGGACTGCCAGAAGAGATCGAAGAGAAATGGATTGACAGTGCGCGCACTCAAGGACACCATGCTTGCCACGAACTTTTTCAGCTCCCCGGTGCGACGTCGAACTGCTTGAAGTTGGTGGCGTAAGCATCCTTTGAACGCCACCTGGAAAAACAGCTGCCATGGCCAGACGGCCTGCGTCCGTGTCGTCCCAGTGCATCTGAAAGGCAAGCAAGCCGACATGAACTCACGTATCACATGTCCCGAAAGGCGTACCCTTTCCTTCACCGACCCTTGTTTCTGCATGCGAGGCGCCTCTTGCCGTGAGAAGTAGGTCGATGTCTCGAGCGGCATACCAATCCCTGATGGTCTTCAATACCGACTTCAACCCTTCGCCATCTTCCTGGGGTGTCCACGCCATGCCAAGAGGAATCAACTGGGAAGACCAAGCTCGGCGGACGTGTTGGGTGCTCAGGCCCAGCAAGAAGAGGGCTCAATGCGGTGGGCCACGGCACCTTCGGCTTGGGATGGCTGCCGACAAGTCAAAAAAAATGCGTAGCCCCTCGCACTGTTTCGAATCGTCAGAATCTTTCTATTGGCTTTGGGGTTCAGGTTCCAGATGCGTTCAACAATGCTAAAGTTGATTTAAAAATCCAGCACATGTCCCGTGGATGTTGTCCTGAGAAGAAGTCGTCGCGCCAGTTGCAAGCGCCGGCGGCAATGGCAGCAACTAGGACCGCCGAAGCTGCAAGGCGACCTATGATTCCAGCAAACCTTTCCAGAACTGTAGGCATCGGAAATTCGGGACCAAGGTTCCTGTAGTGCTACATAACATGGCATGCTGAAGACGTCTAAGAGGGGAACCGGAAAGCGGTCCCTCTCTCGTAAGCCAACAACAGTAGACAGAGGCGACAAGAGTCAGTGTGGCAGCTCCTCGGTGGTTCCTGTTACAGGGGGCAGGCCGATGCTGTTGCAGAAACCCGGGTTGCTTTACGGAATCCCTGCCCGTTCCCGTTACGGGTTCCCGTTACAGTCAACCTGTTCCCGTTATGGCAATCACTCGCATGCCACCAGCTATATGCACACGAGAAGTAGTGCATCTTTAGCGACAACTCGTGTCTCTTCTGCCTGCCCCTGGATGTACTTTGGTGGGGAAACTAGTAACGATTTAGTTGCATGGGAAGGTGCTCCAGCTGGGCACGACCTTATGGCGACACCACATTGCCGAGTCACGGAGGTTGAGAGGTGGTTCAGCAAATGGTCCAGCGACTGCCTTCACATTCCAGTCTGAGAATTCAACCTTCGACCACAGCAGGGGCACCTTGAGATTCCTGCAGCGTCCAAAGCTGCAGCTGCCGCTGTCATGGCCTGTCGTGGGCGACGCAGCAAGGCCATGCCGTGCCTGTGAGACTTGCAAGGCACCGGCCTTTTCGGTCGCCTCATCCACATCCTCCACCGAGGGCGTTGGCCCCAGGGAGGGCCTGGCGAAGGGGTGCTTCTCTCCATCCCAATAGCCTTTAGGGAGGAGAATGCAGTCGGAGCAGAAGTTCATTGGTGGCCTGATCGTCGTAGTGCCTTTGCGACCACAGACTTTCGAGCTACTCCGAAAGTCGGCTTTGTTGAGTGCGGCTTAAGAGCTCGGAGGGCTGCCGTCCGAAATAGAGGAGCAGGAATCCTGGCACAGAGGGGGCTCTCCTCAAGCCCATCAGCCCATCAGATCAAGATGCATGGAGCCTTGTCGTCATTTGTAGACATCGTCATCATGGAAGTATTTCCGAGAAGTTTCGGCAAGGAGTCGACGCTCTCGGACACTTTTTTGCCGCCCAGTTCCTCACAGTAAGGAGCGGGGCGCAGAGAAATGCCTGCTGCAGGGCACTGCGTGAAGACAACTTTTGCCACCCGCGTTTGAAAGCAACTACAGAGTCGGCCCAGGACTAGGGCCGACTGGGGCCGACTAGTCGCGGCTGGAGAAGGTCCTCCTCGGTGAACTCCAGGGCTCCACCCGGAGATTGGACATCCTTCGGCTCCTGAAAAGGCGGGTGAACATCATAGCATCCAGAAACCCAGGGCCCTGCGCGCCTCTTCGCAAGCGTCGGAGCAGTTGCTTATCTGCCGGGTGAAGCGTGCCCAAACCACCGAATCCTCGAGAACAGGCGGCCTACAACTCAGGCGGGAATTATTGTTGAGTCACTAAGTCAAAGCCAAGGCTCGGAGTTGTAGGTTGCGGGTAAGCCTGAGGGGACCCGTCGTGTGCTGGCTTGCGCTCTACGTTACAGGATGGCGCAGCTGGGCCTTGAGGGGTAACGTCCTCCTCAACTTCCAGGAAGGTCTTTTTCACCACGATCTTCTCGCCTGCCACGTCTCAGACCCCTCAGCTCCGAGTTCGGAGTTGCACAAAAAGCGCCTTCTCCTGCCGAGGGCAGCGGCAACTTCAAGATGCTGGCCATTGGCTTCAAGGGCGGCTACGCTGGACACTGCGAAGCACTGCGAAGGCCAGCAACAGGAACAGCCCCAAAGGAATGTGTCGGATGCAGCATTCAGCTGGTTGCTGCAATGATCTTCGAGAAGTGTCACGGAGATCATGAGACAAGGTCTAAGCAGCAGCGGAACAAACATACCAGCTGTGCGACATGAGGAGGTTGCGAGCCCAGGAGTTCTGCATCATGGAGCAGACAAGAAAACCTTTTTGCTCTGTCAGGCTCACCGCGAGGATGGGATGCACCCAGCCAGTGCACCCAGACAGGATTGGGACGTCTCTTGATCGATTGTTGAGCTTCCCATCGAGCATTTTCCATTCTTGCCTTGTCCACGAGCCTGTGGCGCTACCTGCCTCTCTCAATCCCGCGCTTGGGAGCCACATGATTGTGAAGCATGTTGTTCCGCCACCATGTGACACAGAAACATCAGCTCCTTACGACACCACACTGTGCGGAATTGCGACATCGCTGGTGGGCTCGTGTCACATGGCCTGGGCAGTCGTTCAAATGACCGTCCAACCGGAAACTGAAAGAGAGATCCGTCTCGCGGCTACCTGACTCCAACCCCAGGTAAAGCGATTCTGTGTCGCCACTCACAGTGCTGAGTTGTACGGCAGGTTTTGTCTCATCTTCAACCTTCTTCAAGACTGATAAGCCAAAAGCAACGTTGCACTCCGCTGCAAAGGCTCGGCAATTCCAGGGTTGGCGCCACTAGGCATGCTAAGCAGGCTATGGAGTGCCGCCATCAACTCCCAAACAGGATTGCGGAAGCGCCCCTCTCCTTCCTCGTGAGTCGCTCTACTGGCACGAACCCTGCAGGTCGAGCACATCAGCTAGGCTAGGCTATCGGGAAAAAGTTGAAGAGTCTCGCATGATCGATGATCGGGCTCTCAAAATGAACTGCAGGCCGACTAATTAGGCTGCGTCTCCGGAATTTCATAGGTTTCCCAAAGCCGTATACGGTCAAGGTGCTCCTTTGCGTCTTTCATCCCCAGCTACTCCAATGCTCCAAATCACTATAACTGACTATAACCCTCGCCTTCTCTCCAGTGGAAGCACAATCAGGCTTTGCCTCAGCTACCTTGTACACAATGGTTGGCGCCAAGAAGGTGGCTGGGCTTCGCTTCCCGAAGGCTCACGCCCCGTTCCATGAGGAACTGCATCCGGCACAGACCAGACAGCTCGCAGGTTCGCGCTACTTAGGAACCCGCGTAGTCTTGTCAAAAGGAGCTATGACGGTTCTCTAGGGACATGTGCCCATGTCATCTGGAACTGTGTAGGAGCCATGGAATCCGTGCGCTCACAGGCTTGCCGTGGGACCAGCTCCTCCAGAAAAAAGAAGACGTTTCGAGTCAAAAGAAGCAAAGCAAGGGGGCAAGGGCAATCAATGCTTGCAGCAAGGCCTTGTGGATAGCCATCGCCTGGTAATTCCGAAGGTGATATATGCATGTGCCGGCCAACAACACAGAGCAAGTCACGGAAAACAGCGCTCCCACCTCGGCCCGGCCCCTTGTGTTCTGCGGCGCGCCCTGAGAGAGAGCTGCACCGAGACAAGGAGAGCGAGGGAGATTCGGAGCGATGAAGTCGAGAGGCCGCCCAGAAGCGCCTGGGTGGCGGCAGGCCTGGCACGCGATGGCACGCGGGGTGGGCGGGGTGGGGTAGATGCCTCTGGAGTCGCTTCCGGGCCGGAAGCGGGGCTGGGCCTCAAGACGATGTTGGCGGCCACAGCCTCTGGGAAACTGACAAGAGATCTCATGTGTGGTCTCTGTTGCGTGTGTGTGCTCTCTCTCTCTCTCCGACCCGCCTCCCGCTGCGAGAGTCGCCGCAGGAAGAGCAGCGCCTCCTGCACCGCCGGGAGCGTCGGCCCCTGTCAGGGAAGCGCGGGCTGGCGGAGCCGGAATGCCCTTGCTCGCCAGCTCCCACTGTGGCCTGCGGAATGAGGACGTCGACCATGTACTTTCCAGAGGACAGCTTGTACACCTGGACAGTCAGCCTCGCAAGCATACCAAGCAAAGCCAGGAGATATAAATGATTGCCAGAACCGCAAACGGCTCTGCCAGAGAGCATCCCAACTTGCTCAGGAGCACGCATTAGATTCTTCTGCCTTTTCAAAGGCCGAGCACGGACGCGCCAAGGCGTGATGTTGCTCCACTGGCGCAGGGCTGCTCATGGAATCGACTTCTGGCTTCGAGCGAGTCCGATTCATGAGGATGCACCAAACTGCTTCACCCAAAAGCCACTAGCCCTGGTGCACGGAAAGCCCTCTCCGCTCAGAACAGGACAGAACATCACTGTATAACAGGCCTCGTAGCCCAAGTCTCGCAGTGTTACCAAAGCTTCTGTCATCAGAACCGCAGCCTGAAACCATATGCAGCGTTTGTGATTGGCACGAGAAGTATTGCTGCTCCTCAGAGCAGTACTCCGCCCTCTGCCTCCATGATGGCTTCCAAGCCCAGCCGCCATGGGCATTCCGGTGCTGAAAAGGTGGACTGCCAGGCGACCCGCAGGCAACGGAGTTTTGACGAGACATCTTGGACAGCCATACCGGCTATACCCAACGCGGAATGTCGAAGATCGGTCTGCGCTTGGAAGGCATGAGAACGAATTCATACTTTCAACAAGTGCTGCCTGGGCAAGCATTGCTGCTCGGTCATTAGCCTCAGATGCTGATCTGCGCTGAAGGCACCATGCTCGTGAGCAAACGAAACCAGACGGAAATTTGCCTGAAGTATGAACTCTATGTGGTTCCTTCCGAGCAGCCATGGCAGCAATCTTGTAGACAGGAGCCAGCTTCTCCTCACGTCGAGGCTTATTCAAGAAAGCCATCTAGTCTTACGACACTGCCGCAAACACAAAGGGCTAACCAGGCCATTCACTCCTGATCAAACTGCCTTGCAACGCTGGCAATCTCCTGGCAGCGTGCACTTGCACTCCGCCGACATCACTGAATCTTACATTTCCCAGAAGCCGCATGTAGTGAAGAAAATATCCTTTCTGCCTCGTCATCGAACATCTTGTGAGCATTGATGTTGCCCTGGTCCTGCAGAAATAAGAGTGGCCGAGAATCTGCTGTACAACACCTCCGCACACTGCCATCCTAAATGCCCCGCCCCAGGAAGGAAGTCGTTGGGAAGGGGCCCTCATTCAAGTATGTCTACCGGTCGCTGGGAAGTGGGGCCTTCCGAAGGAGATTCGAGAAGCTGCTCTGCTTCGAGGCTCGATCCGCCAGCAGATGGTACGCCACCTCTCACTTCAGACAGGAACCAGCGGAATCCGCAACACTAGGATTTCAAGGGCTGCATGCAGCCTGCTCATCCGGCTTCAAGTTCTCCTTGTCTGCTATCTTGATCCCCATGTCTTCTAACTCCTGGCTCGGAGAGGAATGGCCCACGCCTAGCCCAGCAACTTCCCACACGACTGGCACGAGCCTGCAGGATGTCTGGCTGGACCTCCTCAGAAGGGCTTAGAAGCTGCTTGAAGCTCTACCACCCGGCGCAAAGCAAGCCGTCTCATGCCAAGGAATGGTCCAGCTTCTCCACCGCCAAGTTCAGCGGGGCTGCAAGATATTCGGGCAGGTCCTGCCATGGAGACAAGAAGCGACTGCCTGTTCAAAAGCCAGAGGCTTAGGTCGTGAACATGTCGTGTTGCATTTGTGCTTGCTGGCTTTCCTTCTGGAACCAGGAGTGCTTTCGGATCTGCGAGAACGTGATTCGCCTGGAAGCGAGCAGCCAGGCATGTTACATAGATCCAGGTCCATTAAGCCCCACTTGCCGAAACCCAGGTCTAACCTCATTACAAGTAGAGGAGCCTCGTTGGATCCACCACGAGCATCTGCACAATCAGGTCCTTGGCCTCGCTGCTCAAGTGGCCTGGGCGAAGCGGGAGAGATGTCTTTCTTCTTGGCGTGCACTATACCGCCCTCAACATGCCCCGACTATCTTAATGCTCTAGCAATGCTGGCAGTGGAAGAACCACCAATGCTTGCTCCTGAGAGCTCACCCTGGGAGTTCGAAAAATGCCGCCGAAGTTTCCCGTACTCTCACTGTCATCATCAAGGATTATGTCTGAGCACTTGAAGAGCAACACTACGAGCGAGATCAGTTCATGGAAATGCTGCTAGCAGCTGGAACAGCAGTTGCACCTATCAGCCCAGCAGCAACATGAGTAGCAATAGTGCCAGCATAACAGTAGCAGTAGCCACAGAGGTGACCTGTGTCGTATAGTGGCACAGTGCCGTCGCCATGCAAGGGTCGCGATTGTCACTGTCGTGGCGGTCATGACGGTGGCGGCGATGGCTTCATTGCACTTTCATGCAAGGTGTATGTCGCGCACCGCATGGGACGACAGCGGTGTGATGTCGATGAAGGTTGCAACACATATACAGCAGCCGCGTGCAAAGATTGCTGCCATGTGTTTTGACGGTTGCAGTGACTCTCCGGCATCATGCTGCAAAGGATGTCAAGCTCTGTCCTGATCCGCAAGGTCAGAAGCAACGCGGTTATGCCGGCCTGGCAGGGTGAAGTTCCCGTGCTTGATCTTTCGGAAGAGATTGGGAACCTCGGACGTCGGACACGAAGGCCCGAAGGCAGGAAACGCCATGAAAAATCAACATCTGCCGAGCCCACATTCTCGTCGTCAAATGGAAGAGATCCACAAAGCAGCGCGTAGAGAACTACCCCTCCTGACCTGGCACCACAGAACGTCGAAAATCACAAAGGACTTCGGATGGAGTGCACTCGCCAGTGTGACCACACATCCACCTCTGGGCCGACGTATGCCTTCCAGAGCGTGTACGACTTTGCAACGAATGCGCAAACATTTGCAGACATGGCGATCAGAATATGATCTAATGTGATAATCTGAGCTGGCATGGCTAGCGGCTGGCAGCTGGCAGCTAGCAGCTAGCGACACCCATGCACCTGCCTTGCCCGAGACAACCTCGGGGGAGGCATAGTTTGGTGACCCACAGGAGGTCTTGAGGAACTCCCCATCGCGCCTAAGATGGATCACGGCTCGCGGAAACAGCTCCCCGCTATGCATCTCAGCATCTTCTAAATGGGTGTGGGGCATCGTGTTCGAGAGGCCGAAATCCGCGATTTTCACATGCCTCCGGACGCAGCAGACTGAGGGGAACCCCTCCGGGAGCTTCGCAGCCGCCGAGAGCCGGTCAAGTTCGAGTCCAAGAGCAGGTTCTCGGGCTTCAGGTCTCGGTGGGTCACCTGTCTGCGGCGCCAGCGGCGCTTGGGAATCCTAGGAAAGCCTCGGGTAGCCCGAGGCCGACACCATGCATTGGTGGCAGTACTCGACACCGGACAGGATCTGCTGGAAAAATCTCCGTGCCTTAGGACAGGCGTATGATGATGGCTTATAAATCTCTCTGTCGTACTGCATTGTGTCCAATTATGCCACTTCCAGGTGTTCTGGGCTCTCCGCCTCGTCCTCCTGGAGTTTGAGCTTGTGCACGATGTGGTCGAAAAGCTCACCACCCGGCACGTACTCCATCACCTCAGCGTGAAGAGACCCGAACCAGGCCTTGCTTGACCCTCGACCAAGGACGGGACCATGAAGATGTCACTCGGTGTATCCAAAAGCTCGTAAAGTCGGATGACGTGAGGATGCTTCAGAAACCTGGGCCATCCAACAGATTTTACAAACAGACTGAGTCGAGTTTTGCCGATCTCTCAGCTTAAACAGCATGGGTGGATGGAGGAACGATCGGCATGCGACAAGTCCGGCAAAATTTGTCAGTCACCAAGCTCGTTATCATGCTCTCATGCTCTTAGAGTTAAGCTCCTTCCTAGAACCTTAGAAGGACGACGACAGACCCCAGGGGTTAACAGCATAGGTCCAGCTGCAACAGCACCTTCCTGGTCCAAGGTCGCAGCTGCAGGATCTGGATCTCTCTTCGGATCTTCTCGTGCATGTTCATCTGCTCCATCTTTCGCTTGTTGATTATCTTGATCGCCACCTGGGTACAATTCCAGCAGAAGTAGGAGGAAGTTGCCCGACATGTGGGTCGAGACAGATTACCACTGACATCCTGCTGCATGTGCGCCTTCTGACCCGTCAGAGTGTGCTCGGCCATCTTGACCTTTGTGCCGTTGGGCGGGTTTCAGCTGCTTCGGGGTTTCGGGGTTTGCCGGTGAGCGCTACATTTTTTGGGGGGTGCCTACCACTCGTAACTTGATCTGGGACGTGTGTGTGTGTGTGTCTCAGCGAAAGGTCCCGGGGCTCCGCTTCAATCAAGTGCGGCTCCTGCCTTGCCAAACGTGCCGACGCCCAGAGTGTTGGAGATCTGCGTCAGTGGTTCGAACAAAGTGCCCGTTCTCCCGGCTACCCTCAACTCCAAGGCTTACAGTCAGCTAAAACCTGCTAAAACCCAAGAATGATCACGGTGAGTGCCTTGTAGTGAGAGATGGCCACCATCTTGGCGAGCAAGCGGCGGTGTGCAAAGCAGTTTGGCTTTGCTGCAGCTTGCTGCTGCGGCTTTATGCGTTGATTGCTTGTACTCTTGTGGCTTGCCTGCTGCGACGGGGCTGGAGGTAGAATGTCGACCAGCATAGCGGCCGAGTCTTTTCTAATTGATGACTGAGGTGCAGCAAAACTGTGGCTTCGGAGTGCGAAATGCGGCAATACAAGTGTGGCTAGAAGTGTTGGAGATCGGTTATCACGATCATCTCTCCTACTTTGCACTGGCTAAGCACATGTTTGAGCTGACGGCTGAAGGCGCCAAGTGCCAACTGCCAAGATAAGCCGCTGTGGTCCACGACTCAACCTCTAGCTTGATCGGAAACAGGATAGCTTTCTCTGACTGCACGGTTGCAAATCACGCTTCCTTCTTGGACGCGCTCGAAGGCGATGCAAGACATTTACCGGAAGGCACGCAGCCTGATGCAGGACCGCTCAGGATGTATTGCCGCTGGAACACCCCAGCGAGATAGCACATCAGGGGCTCAGTGCTGGTTGATGATGCGAAGGGCATCCTGCACTAAGCCAAGTTCGTGTTGCTCCCTGCCGGTGAGTCTTCTTGGGACATCCGAAGGCTATCGGCCAGGGACCTGAAGGCAGGTGGTGTAGTGTCTCAGCGCCTGCAAGATGTCATCGTCGGCCTGGCCATGAGCTCAGCGGTTTCTGTGACTCGGAATCGGGGCCCCGTCGGGCCCGTGGCCTGCGATCTCTGCGCAGTCTCGACCTGCAGAGAGGCCTCCACCGCCGCCACCTGCAGAGAGCCGGTGGCCCAGACTCAGCAGCCGCGGCGTAGCCGCGGCCAAGCCAGGCCTTCTGGTCGATGTAAGCGGTGATCGTGTCATCGCCTGCTTAGGGAAGGCCCAGAACCCCGGAACTCCTGGCTCTGAAGTCGCCTGAGTCCCTTTGCTGCTTGATGTTGTCCAGCTCTGCTCTGAGATTCTGGTACCTTGCATGCCGGCATCTCTGTCGGCTGAGGGCATCTCTGTCCTCTTGGAGAGCCGATGCAGATTCTCCTTATCAACCACCTTCAGACATGTCCAAATAGGGTTCTGCGTTAGAACCAGCGGACAGCCAAAGCGTGCAAAAGCAGAGGCTGGGACACCTTGATGAACCCTTGCAAGTCTCTCGGGCCCGGGTCAGGATCATAATTCATGTCCTGGTTACTTCTGCTCGCGTCGCTGCGCCTGACAGGTCTGTTCTGGCGATGCCACGGCCCGAAGACACCGCGAGTCCGGAGCAGCAAGCTCTCTCGGCAGATACCGGGGGCCTGAGCTTTGAGAGCAGCGGACGTCTGAGCCTCCGGGTTGGAGCCAAAGCTCAGATTCCGCCGTCAGGCTTGTGCAGTCGGACTTTCTATCAACAACACTCCCGGCCCGGAAGACACAGTGTGTGCAAGCAGCTCGTCGCAAGGCGCTCAACATTCCCTCAGGCTCAACGGTCTGCCCTCGCCCCACCTCGAATTCGGACAGGCTTTTGGAGCATGCAGCGCAAGAAGCCTTGCGGTCCTAAGCAAACGAAGCAGGAGCGCACCGAAACCGAGGAGGATTCGCTTTGTGGCACGCAGAGGCAAGGGCGGCTTTCTCCTGCTGATGTGCGGCGACACATTCGAAGACATCCTGACAGCCATGACATGCAACCCTGTGAGCGGATCTCTACGCTCTTGTTGGGAGGGCCATCAAAGACAGAGCCAAAGTAAGCCTCCTGTCCTTGGAGAGCAGGGCCTTTCTCTTGTCAATGTCCTTCAGAGGCGTTCGTGTTCGTCTTTGCGGCTGGCGCCGTTCTGGTACTAGCACTACGTAGTAGCTGCTTTCTGTCCCGGATCTGCTTCTCGCGCGTCTCCGCGAAGTCCCGCTCCACGGCGGCCATGCGGTTCCCAAGCAGTTCCAGGCCTGGCTCAGCGGTCGCGCCCTAGAGGCCCTTAGAAAGGTCAGAACAGGCTCCGGCAAGCAGAGCTCTTTAGACAGCTCATTCAGGGATTGAGTCAGGAAACGGCAAAAACATGCCCGGGTCACCGGAGTCCAACTGATCCAGCTTCGCTGTAAAGACGGCCTCCAGCCGGTCCTCTGCAGGGTGCTGCAAAGCCACAGACATACACGGAGAGCAGCGACATTCACACTTGCTGGGCCTGTATGGCATGCACCTGTGCATCGAACATTGATGCCATCGCACGGTTTGCCTGTAGAGCAAAGTCGGCTGACACATGAACTTGCGGCACAGTGACGGTCTACGGCTATGAGCCTCAGCACGCCTGTGCACCTCTGTTTGCACAGATTCGACGGCTTTCATCATGTTTGCCCTGACGCCTGAGTGGCACAACAGAAGCGATGCCCTGCTGCATCGCCGGCGCCACTTCCTTGGGACAGCACCATCGAGCTTGGAACCATCCCGGTCTATGCGACTCCTGTGCCAGACGAGAAGTGTCCACGATTGTCTGGGGCAACTGTCCATGCCTTGTATCCTCGTCCCATTGCGCTTGGAAGTTGGAAAACTTGTCTTTCAATGCAGAGATCTTTGCCTGGCAGCTGAAAACGCACTGCACCGTAGATTTGTCGAAGCTGATGAAGCAAAATGTCACTACACAATGGACCTGCATCGCCATTGCTCCCACGCCTTCACTGAACTTACGGGTGCTGTCTCCGTTGACGGCATCCAGTGGGTCTAGTTATGGCCTGCCTCAGCCGAAGCTCCAGTGTTCACAACATCAGCGAGGCACAGCGGGACGGAGCTGAATCAGCTGTAGAAATGCTCTCAGAGAGACTCGAAGAGACTGGGCTTGGCTTGACTCATGCTTGAAAAGCGCTGTCTAGTTGTCGGTGTACTAGAACCAAGTCCTGAGTGCTCTTTGGCCCTATGGCCCCTTGGCTGGATTCCAGCGGCCCACGAAGAGAGTGCACGCTCAGGGACGCTGGCACTGAAAGTAGGCTCCGGCAATGTGCATCAGATATTTCCGGGAACTCCGGCTGCAATTCGGCAGAGCCGACTCTGGATTCCCGGGTGGTCTTGGAACCTGGTAGGACAGCGCCCACTGAATATGCACCTTCCTTACCTGCCCTTGCCTCACCTCGGCAGCATCTCCTCCGCGAAATGAAGCGCTTCTGAGGAAGGCTCGGCAGCCAGCGACCGCAGAGACTGGCTCGAAAGCAAGGAGAGCCATCGCCACTAGACGGTTTGGCACCTCCTCGGTGATGGTGGGAGAGTGCTCAAGCTGAGCCCTGACAAGCACATGCCAGCCCGAGGGGCTTCATGTTTCTTAGTCCGAGCTGGCCTTAAAAACCACAGGAAGAGGTCGCGAGCTTCGCCACCAGCCAAGAGACCCTGGACCTCGGCGTTTTCAACTTTTTTCGCACCAGCCGCCCTGAGAGGCGAATTGCTGCCGGCAGACAGCGGAACTCTTTCGAAAAGGAACGCTAGACTCTTGCCTCTCTCCCAAACCCAGAGCTATCTACTCAAAAGAATCCCAGGAATGAAATGCAATGTGCAGGGGTTCGGATTCAGACAATTACTCTGCAGCGAAGTCTCTGTGTCGAATGCTTCCAACTTGGAGAGGTTCTCATCGCAACGCCGCGCCTGCGATCTTGGCACACTACATGGGAGCGCAATGCTGACACAATCACGCCTCGACTTCGCAAATGAGATCCTCCGCTTTCATCAGAAGCTCTGCATCCTGCATATTTTCAGGACATATTTGAAAAGAACCAGGGCTGCTGCTCTGAGGTGCTCTCCGCGGGAGCTCGAGGGCACCTGGACCTTCTTCAGTCGAGCTGACAGCTCCTCCAGCCAGCCTTGCTCTCGGGGACATCGCGCATTGAAAACACTGCATCAGGAGTCCAGGCAAGGGGCCGTTGCGCACTTTTGTGCTCCTGCACCGCATAGAGAGAGACAACAGGCAAGAAGGAGGCCGCCCCCCTAATAATAATAGTAATAATAATAATAGTAGTAGTAGTAGTAATCATAATAATAATGGTAGTAATAATAGCAATAATAACTGAAGCGAGGCCCCAAGGCCTGGCCTGGCTCGCCTTAGATTCTGGGAGAGCTCTGGCGCTCGGGTCTCTCCATGCAAAAATGCTCTCAGAGCGGCCACGTCAGTGTACCATCTCGGGTCAAGAGCTGGAACTCCCTCTCTTCCTGCAGATTGGCATCCGACGCCCTAGCTTGCCAGCAAGCAGGATTATCGGAAGAGTTGCCTCGTCCTCGCATTGCACCACGCCCAGAGCACATCGAAGGGGCATGCGGGCCTTTGCGGGCTTCCATCACTTCTTGAGCCACCGAGGGGTGTCGACCTGCGACTTGCTCGGAATCCGGCCATACCACCACCAAGAGCAGCACCGTCAGCCTCTCACCAAGTCACCATGTACCAAGAGCAGCAAAAGGCAACGTTCACAAGGATGGGCCTAATCCCAAAAAGGGCCTATTTCTCTCAAGACATGGTCGTGGAATTGTGGAAGGCCTGCGAGTGCCAAAGGCTTTCGCCATCCAGGGCTACCTGCCCGTAGCAGGGATGAGATCGCTGAGCCTTCCTCAGCCTTGTTGGACATCCAGTTTAGTGAGCAGCTAGTCTGCACTGAGAAATCTTCCCGGGTTCAGAAGAATGCGAAAGTCCATCCCCACTTCCCGAAAAATTGACATCGAGAAACCTGCATCAAAGCCCGACACTTGACCTCCAAAGCCTGGAAGGCCTTAGAGACATCAGCAAACCAAGAATCCCGACCTTCAACCCCCGGCAAAGCTCACCACATGTCAAGCATCAACGATCACATGGAGCCCACGGATTCCAAGTTCAGAGAATGATTCACCGTCCTCTTCCACAGAACGTCCCTAACCTCACACATGAAAACTCTCCCGGGAACTCCAAAAAGGTATGGCCCCAGGGCCATCCCCAAACCTCCGAGCTTTAGCATGACTGCTCGAGAGCAACGCTGCTCGTGGCGCACCGTGCAGCGCTGCCAGGCCCCGTCGCAGCTCAGCTCCAAAGATCCACTTCGCAGCCGCCCATCCTCCAAGATAAGGGCTCGGCTACTCCCGCTCTTTCTGCTTCCAAGTGCGCCGAAAACTGACTGTTCAGACCCAAATTTCAGTCAACCATGCACTTTGGGCGACACCCTTTTTTCAACCATGCACTTTAGCTAAACCCCTTGTCCTTGTTGGCAAGCGGCAGCAAGAGCTCATCTGAGTGGCTTCACATGAGACACAACCAGCTGTGTGAAGTGTGAATGTGGCTTTGCCTGCTGGGATGTGTAATTATTTCTGTGCCTTTTATAAAGAACAGCAAAGCAGTCGCTCGAAAACGCAAGCAAATACTGAGCCTGGTGCCCAGGCCATCAGTCGCTCCTTCAGCATTCAGGGTATCATGTCCTGATTCAAACGAGAAAGAAGAGGCTCGCAAGGTCTGACTCGTTAGACAGACCACGCACCTGAGGCGTGAGAACACTACATCAAATTGATCATCAATTTTAGTTCATCATAGGTGCCGTTGCCATCACTGTCCTGTCTGCCGAATTTCACGGAACAGGAACTTGAAGGCACTTTGGCCGCCCTTCTCCTGCCGGTCGAACGGGAGCTCGCAATGTCTGTCGAAGCAACCAACAAGGTGTGATGTCTCAAATCTTGAAGAGATCGTCGCACCCGTAGCCCGTAAGGTTCTGCCATCAGTAGAGTGAAAAGTCAAATCTTAAGGACTGACACAGATTGACATAGCCCATCTAGCACATCACACAATCCGTGCAGCTAGAAAATGACTAAATTGACCAAACCGCTGGCTTGCGATGGTGAGCCTGGATCTGAAGGGGCCGCTCCTCCCGCGGCGAACAAGGAAACATCATGCAATCCATGAAGGCAAGGAGGACAATACTACGCTACGGCTTTGTCATCAGAATGAGAAGAACAGTTCTGTCATGACAAAATGCATCCACACGCTAGACCCTGCGTTCAAGTCTTGCTCGTTTAACGGCCGACAAAGCTCTTGGACGGCAAAACCAACAAGGACAGAAACTGCAGCCTCGGAAGAAACAAAAGAAGGAAACACCCACCAGGCTGGAAAGCCGAAACCCCAAAAAGGAACCCCCCAAGTCGACACACCTCCGGGTCTCCTCACGCTGCAGAAGCCGCTCTCTCAGCTTCGTGCGACCCGGGCCCGGGGCTTTCAGGAGGAGCTCGTGCCTTCAGCTTCAGCTTCAGCTTTAAGGCCAGGGCGTTTCTTGTTCGGACTTAGGTAACCGCACGCGACGTCGAGCAGACTGTACGGTTCGGACATGTTCGGACCGACGCCACAGCTTCTCTTGAGTTTTTGCATGATCAATGCGAAGTTGCGTGTGATACTTGCATCGGAAACGTCTTCATGCTTTTTGACTAAGTTACACTACTGCGACCTTTGTTGGCTACGATGGCTTGTCGGTCTTGCGCCGTGCATACCCTCTCTTTTTCTCACGGAAACCGTCCAAGATCGTCCAAGTAAAAGACGTGAACTCCCTGTCCCAGTCTTTCACCTCTTGCCATGGCCCCTCGAGCCAAGGCATCGGGTATGAGCACTGCTATTCTGACTTCAGAGTGCCCTTGGAGTTTTGTAAATACTTCGCTGATGGACACTGCGGCTGTGTTGTTATGCTGCTGCTTGAAAGCCAGATTGCAAGCCGAGGCACCTCTCAGGATTTGCTTCTCTGCCATTGGAGGCTCGCCGCTTGCACAACGACTCGATCACGTCCTCTGCGTTTGTGCCATCTGCTGGTTGCACCATGGAAGAATCGCTCGTCGCAGCGATGTTTTGTCATGTTTCAGTCGGGAGTCGAAACAAAATTTACAGATGCAGACTGCTATCCATTATCCGCTGGGTGACTAGCGTGTCGCGAAACCGCTTGCGGAAAAATGCGCTTGGCAAGCCAGTCCTGAACGGTGGAATCTGGCTTGAGCGGCAACGTCCTGAACCTGAGAAGAAAACAAGCCGAGAAACTCTACTCGCTGAGACTCCAAAAGCGTGTGAATGTAGTTGTCGGTTTGACCAGCCATTCCACAAACACGACACATTCAGCAAGAGACCACTGATGTGGAAACTTTGTGCTATCTAAGCTGTGCCACGTGTTGTCTTCGAAGTAGACCCGCAGTGTACCAGCCAGCCGCTGCTCTGATGCCATGAAAAAGTAGAGGTCTTTCCTATTGTGACAAAAATGATTCCTTCCAACACAGAGCAGCGATACCAGTTCGTGTCTGCGGCTAGCTGCTGAGCTACACTTACACCGACCGTCTTTATGCACGTCGGACTGTTTGCAATGGGCTTAAATCTGAGTCAAGACGACGACTTGTGCATTCGAGCATGAAGCTGTTCAAAGCAGACTCTAGCTGCCTGAGATGGAGCAGCTGCAAACAAGCTCAGAAAGCGGCGCGGGCATGTTCCTTAAGCTGACACTCTTCAGCACTCAAGCTCGGTGCAGTCTGAGGTGAAGGTTTTGCCACAGCCGCCGTTTCAGCTGTCATGATGCAGATCATTTGCTTCTGGCCCGCAGCCTCAGGGCAAGCTCCACTGAACAACAAACAATTCATGCATTTCCTTGCAAGCTCGGTCCTTACTAGTGACGCCTGGTGGTGGCACCCAAAGCAAAATGAATGCATGCTAAGGAGCGCTAGCATTTGGCACAGAAACTCCAGCGGCATCACAAGAAGTTGGAGGGACATTTGTTCCAACAAACATGAGAGCATAAGTCCTTGATGGTTGCCAATCAAGTAATTGCCATGACCCCTCCAACCCTTGTTATCACAGAGCTGTGCCACGCTCGAGGTTCTGTCTTGTCTCCTGGCAAAATTTCCAAGGACTACATGTTAAACATCCCTGCTTCTGTAATGCCAGATTAATCCCATGGTTCAGATGCACATGCACTTGCTGATCCTCTGTGTAATCGCCAAAAAAGCGATCCAGCTTCTTGTTGAAGAAGCCTCATTTACACAGCGTGAAAACAACACACTGCAAGTCCAAGTGGCAGTCAAGGCACGATTCCTTTCGTTGACGTATGTCCGATCTTCCTCGTCGTTGTAGGCACGCCTTTGGAAGGTCTGATTTCAGCTGTCAACCCCGTGCCCAAGCGTCCAGTAGGAAAGCCAACCCTGCTCATGTTTCCATACGCATCAGCTGTGCTAGCGGACCCTCTCCTGCTATAGCATTCTGACCAAATGCAAGTGGTGCTCGGGAGGAACCCTACTCCCTGAACTTTAGGACACAGCAAGCCCTGAACCATCCAGGATTGAGGTCCTGTTAAAAGGAAGGGTTTTCTTCCGTGCTCCGACTGCAAGGCAGCGTCTGACATACAACCCACATAGCAAGAAGCACGCAGGTAGCTGCCACTGTGCTTCGCATCTTGGAATGCACAAGGATGCAAATTGGTGGTGAGTGATTGAGACCTCGCTCGAGGGTGAACTGCAGTGGTGGTCATGCATCTGTCGCGGCCTTCTGGAGAACTCCTTCTTCTTCTCCTCAGCAACAGCGGCTAGGTCAAACTATGCGTAGATCCCTGGACTCAGATCAAACGAGGGTCTCAGCTGAGATGTGTGCAAGGAGAGCAGCAGATTACGTGCCAGAGACAGGGGTACAGCAAACATAGTCCGAGAATCCAAAATCTTGCCCATGGCATCGCCCAATCGTCTCTTCGCCTTCCGCAGAAGCATCCGGGATGAGCCGGCTACCACGCTGGAGACGAATGTAAAGCTAGCCAGAAGTTGATTTCCGTGTCGCATACTCGCACGTGCTTCGGGACACGCGACCTCTTCTGTCGGCTTGAAGCCAAAGCCTGCAAACTTCAGGCCTGGCCGAGAGTCCAAAGAGTGCCTGCTGCATTCAGCTTATGTTTCCGAATGCCTTCTTCGCCTTCCTCTTCTATCGCCTTCTTCTGCTTCTCGTAAGCCTGCGAAAAGAAGCCATGGAAGACTACGCCTACCGACGGAAGCGACACACAATTCGCGCCATGACTCCGTGTCATTCTTATCGTTTTTTCTGCTCAGCCTCTGGGTAGAACTGGACCTGCTTCAACCTCTTCTCGTGGGCCCGCAGAAGAGAGTCCTGTGCAGCCATGCGCTTGCATCCGTGCAAAGAAGCTCAAATGTGACAAGGGCTTGGATCTGAGGCTACACAGAATAGAACCTTGGCTCATGGAGGTCCTGGTTGAAAACATCCCAGCCGAAAGCGTCTGGATTGCCTGAGGCCAGGAAGCCCGGCGCTATCGCTCTTGCCTGGGACTGTAGAGCCAGCCTTTCTTCTTCTTTGATTCTCGAGCTTCCGCCGTCCTGGGACACGCAACCTGGACCTACGCCGCGCTACGTAGCCGAACTGGTCGCGGCCGCGAGGCCGCGAGACCGAGGGCTGGGCTCAATCGTGTCGTTGAGGTAATCTTTGCCCTCTGGCATGCCATTCCTGCACCAAAAAAGCGAGGACGTCAAGGAAGATGCCCAGCTCCATGAGCACCCGGATATAACTTGACGATGCTAGGACTGACATGGACTGAATAGTGTCGTTCACCTGCTTTTGCCTCCTTTCTTCTCGTCCTGCAGCTCGCGATCTGCGATTCGATGCCCACTGTGCCGGCTTAGATCGATTCGTTGCCTGAAGCCAGGGCACCCCACAACTGCCCCTACAAACGCAGGCCTCTTCCTTATCTTTCTTTTCTTCCTCTGCAGCTCTCCTTCGGGGACACACGGACACTGGCGAGGTCACACGGGGCACTCAACATCCCAGGTCGCGGCTTGGCTGCAACCTTCTTTGAGTAGCCAGGATCGGACTCCCTCTTCTGCTCTTCGACGACCTGTGTCAGCATGTCCCCGCTTGAAAGCAACTCCGAAAAGAACACAGCACGAGAAAAAGCTAAAGATCACGGGCTCAACAACTGAAGTTTGCAGAAGCCACCTCCTTGTTGTTCGCAGAACGGCCTCAGAATCAAAGGCACACAGACCTGCAACCGCAAAGCTTCGTGACCTGCTACCATAGGCGGCATGCACACGGAACATGCAAGTTTGATCGTTGACTGAGACACGAGCTTTGGTTCATCTTCAGCCTGGCAAAATACCACCGCCCAAGCTCGGCCGAGAGTGCAGAAGCTGTGCAGTGAAAAGTTGTCTATCGACCACCCGTCTCGTAGCGCACTGCATACAACGTAATAAGACATATGAGGGCCGATCTCCAACCCGCAGACAGGCCTCAGTTGGTAGAGCCGCTTCTCGCGCTCTGTTTTCGGCAGAGGAATGCCGGCACCTTCGTCATGTCGGATCGGAGAACTACATGGAACTACATTGATATTACTTCACCGAGCATAAGCAACGACCAAATTCCACAAGCAGACGCATTCATGTATCGTTATGTGCATATAGGCGCGGATCTCGGTACACCCTGCTATGGGTATTGCCATCCACAATCATACACACAGCTTTGCATACAACTGCATACTGCAAATCTGTACAGACACAGATATAGACATGGATATAGATATCGGTATGACTCTAGATATAGATACAAATATAGGACCACATATAGGTCTAGACATAGACATATAGTCTCTGTCCGAACATGTTTAGATCTATACTCCGAATACTAAGACGTAATTGGTGCTTCTTGCATTCTTAAGTTTATGTTGTTCATATTTTCGTGTGTGTATCTATATACACGCACGTTTGAATATTCTGTACTTAATTATCTATGTATGTAGAGAATTGTAGATTTACATAAATTCGTACGAATATACATCTACACGTATGTCCTCGTAGATGTCTTTAGATAGATAGATAGATAGATAGATATAGATATATATATATACACACACACCGCTGTATATACGCAGTACACCTGGCATGTACATGTACGGAACCCGTGCGTCTATCGCAACATCGGCATCCTCTAAACATCCCTTCCGGGGCTCCCACCCTCAGTCTCGAGCTCCTCCTGAAAGTTTTCGTGGGTGGGGGTTCAGGGCTCAGGCAGTAGAGGGACGAGAGTTTTGGGCTCCCGACCCTTCGCACAAATACAAGTCCAGAGTCTGGTTCGGGACTTGGGAAGTGGGTCCAAAGCTGAAGGTGTGGAGCTTGACGATTTGGGGCTTGCGGCATGCTACTGAGATCGATTGGCATCGCAGGGCTGGGTTTAGAATTAAATGGAGTACTGAGCCCTTGTAAGTTTGCAATACATGGAGTTTTGAACAGTCTCACGGCATCAATCCACCGGCAGAACGGTCATGAGTCATGGTCTTATGCGGTGAAGCCCGACGTCATGACATGAATGCATGGATGAGATATATCGCCGCTTACAATGCCACGTGCTACCATGCAAAGAACTCGCTGTAAAACAGTGCAAATGTTGGTCATACATGTCCCTATATGCTGTGAAACGGTTTGCACTTGAACTTTCAAAACGCAACGCCTTCAATTGAAACCCCTAATTATATGGGAAGCAAGGTACACTCACGAATGCCACATGTTGCTATTCCAATACGAAGAAACAATATGCAATACCTAAGCTGCTACCGAATATCCCAGACCTTACACGAATGAAATATACATGGAAACTCCCAGTCCTCCCCCCCGGCGAGATGCAGCGTATGTGGGCGAGGTTCACGACAATGCTCAAAAAAATCCAAAAACTCACGAAACACTGTCATGCTCACGGATTTTAACAGTGCCAAAATTCCAGCACCCATGGTTGGGCGAAGTGCCAAATTGGAAGTTTTGGAATTGTTCGAGCGTTACAATGGTTACTGAGTCTGAAGGCGACTATAATATTTGCTTGTCCGCTTCTGTTATGAGCCATGCAAATCAAGACTAAAACTGGCAGTTGCAACATTTTTCTTCCTTCGATGAGGACCCATGTTAATCCACCATGGTACCCCTCAATTCTCTGCCTATATCTCTGTCTCATAAGGAACCTGAGGGGGTAAGGAGGAGGGGGTTAGGGGACTGCACTTCCGTAAATGGGCCTGAAAAGCCCCTTTTGAGGTCCTTAATGCGGGAAATAATGCCCCTACCACCCTCCTCCCCTTACGCCCCCTAAGGGTCCTTATGAGTAGAGCCTCCACGACAATGGCATCAATGCGTTATCGTGCGCCTTCATAGCTCACATGGCCCATAATTACAGCCTCTGTGTATATCCCAGTGCAGGCCATTTGAAACTTTATCCTTGCAGTCCGCTTTCCAAAAATCTTGAGTCAAGTAAAATGCACTGTCGTTTCAGTGATAGCGTTCCTACTCACTGAATGTCTTGACTCAGAACCTTTCACGACCAGCCTCCGCGATTTTATTTAAAGCGCCACATTGATTCTTTATATGACTGACACTGTACATATCATCCGTTCTGCTGTATAGTCCACATACATCTCGATCGTTGTTTGGCAGATTCTGAGAAACCTTGTCAGCTCCACAACCTCAGAGGATAATGCCCATTTTCCTGCAATAATAACCTCTGCGAGCTACAAATTTTCGTAAATATGAAGTCTACAAGTCCGAATCAGAGCTCGGCCGTCAATCCTCCCAACTTTGAACTTGCCTTCACGGTTCTCGTTAATTCCGCACTTTCACACCTTATGTGTATCGCAAATATCAACCTTACTACCTCACTACGACTCCCGTCCTCCCTACTAGCTAAAACTAAAGCTGTCCCATCACTGCGACTTATCCTGAGCTTTTGTATTTCCTTGTCTCGGTTTGCGAGTGGTATTATAGACATCAACCCTCCTACAGTTTTGCTCGTATGTTCCAGTGTGCTGTTAAGAGAGGTGCCCACATGCACAATTTAGCAGATGCGGTGTTTGGTGACAACATACAACATGCCTTGAGACAAGAATAAAACGCAAAAACACCGGGTTCCTGGCAACCACAATATGACAACATTAATTTGACACACGTTCCCGCATGTCATCCCCAGATTCATAGACATACAGCAGCATGAAGAAGGCTAGGATTGCATCGTGACTCGGAAATTCTGAATCGTTTACCTGTAAAGTCGTCTAAAGCAGGCGGCGGCGGATCTTGTCGGAGGGTGACCACTACACGCCTGGATGGAATGTTGGGTTAAGTGGTGTTGCACCATTCGTACGTTGAATTATACCGCAGCGTTTTACAATGGTCCTTTGTTAGAGCTTGGGGAATCCTAAATCCAAAAAGATCGAGTATTACCCAAACATGACTTAATTCATCAGTTCTTGCAAAATGGTGTAACCTTGCCCACCCAAGACCGGCTGAGCCCGTTTAATACCTGTGTTGCACAACTGGATGAAACCCCAATATCGGGCAACGCTCTATCGAGTCGCCGGCCGGGTTGTGGCGAGCTGTACCCGGTAGTCCACCCCGAGAAACGTTTGAAACTTTGCTTCTTGGTGAATGCCGGAAGCACTATGATGCTTATGATGCTGCGCTGTCAACACAAGGACCACGGAACTGCATCGGACTTCCCTTTGCTCGGGGCCGCTCGGGATTAGGGGCATCACAGTCAAAGTGTGTGCAACCTCGATGGACGTACATGACTACCTATGCATGTGTCTCTTTTGCAGTTCTATACGACTCATGCAACATGTGACACTGTGCTACATGTGCTGTCGTGGGCCATGGTACACGATACTGTGGCAAAGACTGTAGCTAGAAAAAGAGACAAATGGTGTGGCAAGAGCGCCGGAGCTCTCTGCCCTCGGTCTCTCCTGTGCCGCCTTTCGCTTCAGAGCCGTGCCACTGATCTCTCCGCCAAGTGCTGCACCACCTGCGGCAGCTGCATTTCGCATGAAGTTTAGGGTCTTGCACCTCCTACTTCCAACATACCGCCACGTGTACCACACGAACACGCACGGCCTCGCCTGGTTTTCCGGCAAGGATCTGCTTTCCCTGCTGCGCCGCGTTCGCCTCGTGTTCATAAGTGTCTTGAATCACCTTGTTCTGAAAACGACCCCGGGCACTGCCTTTGGGACCTCCTCCTCGGTGAGACCCTGGATAAGCTTGCTCATCCTTGGAGAAAAAGACCGCAAATCAAACCTAAGCCCGGCTCCTGTCGGATGGTGCTCGAGGTGCTCACTCGCTCTGCTGCTCCAGGCCACTGCTGGTCTTCGCACCTACCTGAAGTCAGCGCCGCAATGCTAAACTCAGCACGACATCCAACACCTCCGGCCTCTCCGCAGCCGACTATGCTGCAGGTCACACGAGGTCGCTCGTCGCGATCCTTGGAAAGCCAGCACTTGACCTAGTGAAGCGCAAAGGTCTCCCCTACACTGGTCATCAGCCTAGGGCTTTGGGCGTTGCCTCTGCGCTTCGAGCATTAAATTCCAGGCCCGGGCTGTGGGGACTGCCGCAACGGCTCGAATCACATCCATTCCCTCCACCACCTGCCAGGTATTGCAACAACAAACACATAGGCCACGGTAGCGGTGCTCGACTTCACCTGACAAAGCTTTCTTTCCGGCTCTTGCAGGCTCTCTCCGGCTCTCGCCTGCCCGAAGGCGATGTGCTTGTTGTCAAGCTGCACACTTCGCCTGGCGGTTCCCACCGGGCACTGTTTGCACCCCGAGCCTACGACCTCTTATCTCGTGTCGTGGGTGGAGATTGAACACACGTGCAAGCACCCCTGACAAAGAACAAGTGTGCAAAGCAATAAACAAGCCCCAAGGTGCTTGAGAGTGATGAAGAACTGCGATCCGTTGGTGTTTCGGCCTCTGGCACCAGACTCGCGCTGCAGGAATCAGAATTTGCTGGCTTTCTATTTAACAGAGACACGGAGATGCACAACCGTTCCGGATAAGCCGTCATATGGGCAACCAAGCTGAGGTGACGGCCCTTGTTGGCCATGCTGACGACTCCCGCCTGCGGAGACTGTCAAGGTGGAAACGAAAAACATGCACTGCGAGCAACACCAGCTGCATTGTGCAAGCAGAGAACTCCTTCGACTGATTCTCATTGTTTCGCATGCGACCACAGGCTCACAGCTTCACAAAGCCGCCTGTGTGTGGCGGCGGACGAAATCCTCGTCGTTAAAAGTCCCCCCATAGATGCTCTCGCCTCCTTAGTTTTGCAGCTGATGTTTGCGACTCGTGAACCGGTAGTTCCTTGAAGACTTCCTCGATCTGCGATAACTTGCGGAGGGCACTCTCACCCGAAAGGTGCAATCGGAGGAAGGCTTGGGAAACAAGCCCAAACAGTACCATGGCAGTGAAAGTCGCGAGCCGAGCATGCAAATACCGGCGTCTGCAGAAATGAGTCTCTCGCCGTCACCATTGTTGAACTGAAAGTCCCCAGATTGGATCATGAAGTTCTTCGCCTCATTGTGGCGGTGCGTTTCTGTGATTTGCTGCCCAACTCGTGACATCCACAGGATGGGTGCACCCAATCACAAGCAACAGCAAGTCTAGAAAATACCTGAGCACTAACATGTATTCAATACAACAGAGTGCTGCATAAGGTTCGTGCAGATCTGAAAAACTCGCATCCTTCGTAGCAAAGCTTCTTTCGGGTTGTTCGGCCCAGACCTGCAGTTGCACGATGGCTGCGACAACAAAACGATCCACCAACTGGACCAACTTGCTTTGCACTCAAGGCTCCAGCCATACTCACCTGTGCAAAGAGCTCGGAAATTTTCCGCTGTCCTGCGCAGGTGCAGCAACCTGGCTCAGCTCTTGACATGTGAAAGTTGATAGATATGTCATCCTTTCTCTAGGTCCTAGGCGTCACGTCGGCAAACAGCTCGATGATCACGCGACCACCTATTGAGTGGACACCGTCGAAAGCCCAATTTCACAAAATACTCGCTTTGGGTCCACGGTGGTGAGTTGCCATCTTGAAGAGTCCGAAGTCTTCGTCCTTTCCGGCCTGTGCGACTTCCGATGGCAATGTCGAGGTAGACCCTCGGGTTCTTCCCTGCAGGCAAGGCTTCGACAAAACCTTCCAACCTAAGCCAAGCATTGCCTCGGCCCATGTCGCCCGCACTGACGTGTCCTGCACAGCACGAGGATGCAGATCCTTGCTTCTTGTTTGCAATGCCGTGGCATGGCCTTCAAAACTGCAGAAAGGACACTGGATTCGGCTAAGCAAACAGTGTGCAGTTGCTTCAACTTGCAGTTTACTGCTGTATAGCGTCCGGGTCTCTGCGATGACATCTGGTGCTGAAACCATGTGCTTCGTGACATCTACGCACGTTTGGTTTTCGTGTGCATTTGATTGAATCCAAATACTTGGCGGGAACGAAGATAAGCTGACTTGCCGGCGTGTCGATTGGAAAACCGCCACGTCTGGACCTCGAGGCTGTAAGCTTTATGTTCCAACAAACCAATTTTGCAGTGTCTTCCCCGAAAAAGGTGCTGACCAAACTGGTGCTGTACCTGAAAGGTTCTTGCGGCAGACTTTTGCGACGATGGTGAATCACGTACACCTTCCGTCCCTTCTGGAATCCTTGGATTCAACAAACAGAACCTGTCTTACCCAACTGAGAGGCCTTGCGGAACGGCTTGGAGAACGGCAATACACATGCAAATATCAATTCTCCAGTTGACTTTTGCTTTGCGGTTGGGCATAGTTAAGAGCTGGTACGACGACATTGGAAGATGTGTCCACGAAGACATGCAGCGTGTTCAAACAAGTGTTATGACCAATCTAGAAATTTTCGACCCTGCCCCCATCGAATAAACAAGTCCAAAACTATGTCACTCAGCAAGCTCGAATGAAAAATCGATTCCGACGTTTCTTGATCATGCCCTTGAAAACTCAACGACTTTTTTTGTGAGGAACTCAAAAAATTAAACCCACAAACGTTATTTTTTGGGTGGAAACTCAGCACCCCGACACCTAACACCACATCCGCGTTTTATGGCTCTGCTTCGGGTTTGCAAAGCAAGTCTCAAAACTGGCATGTAAAGCTTGTCTTGAGATTGAGAGACACGGACTGCAAAAACTGTTTTGCGATTTAAGAGACATGAACTGCAACAAACGTCATGTTGGCATGCAAGACCGTCACAGCGCAGCACTTGCGTACACGCAACACGCCACATGCTCGTGCGCTTCGGCATCTGAAAGACCGCCAGCAACGCCAGCAGGCGTTGGGGGAGTGGAAGGCGGGACAAAGTCTGCTTAACCTTGCCGAAGGGCCCACCCACCACCCACTTAAGCATGTAATGTGTCGGATTGACTTCATTCTCCCACCAAAATCGTGCGCTCGCCACAGTTTGGCGCGAAGCGGCCCGGCAAAGCTTTTTTTTGCGCGAGCCTTCTTGGGTCTGGCTGTGCCGCTTTTGGCCGGCGGGTCCGACAGGCCAGGTGAAAAAAAGGAAAGGACACGCCCAAAATCGAGCCCGCAGTTCCGTAGGTTCGGCGATTAGTATGGCTTTTCGACCATCCTAAACCCTCTCGGGACCACATTCTGAGACTTGCCGGCACCGACTTGACAGAAAAGCTGCGATTCGGCCAAAATCGTGCCTAGGCGGGAGCACCGGAATCGATCGAGCCCATGCATGGTCGGCTCAAACCGCCGGCGCCAGGAGCCGTCGGGATGCACTCTTCCCAGACGGGTCCGAAATCCGCAAAAATAGATTGTGACATGGTGTTTAGGGTCCATGGGCGCTAGAGTGTCGGAAGCTTCAAGGAAAGGTCAGAAAAACCGCTGCAAGGCAGGCATCGCGACATGCAACAACTCACACTCACCGAGCTGGTCACCTACATCGCACCAGACAAAAAAAGTCCCGGGTGTCGCCGTTTGAGCCAACCCCGTCTTAACTTTGCTAAACAAAGGAGAATCACATGCAACTGTCCTGATGCGCAGGACTTACTGAAAACAAACAGGCAAGTGCACAGCCACTGTGCTCCAGCCTTGACTTCCCGAAACGAAAAGCTTCCAAAGCTTGTTCAGAGCAACACGCACTTTTTCAACGATGCTCAACATGAAAAGCTATGTCATTTTCCACCAGGACTGATAATTTCACAACGGGCTGCGAGATCCAAACCTGGTGGACGACGACCAGCGGGTCGTTAAATCTAGCGCACATCTGCGCATGCCCTTACCAGACATGTAAAACAAAATTCGTCACGTCTCTTTGTGAAACACACTTCCAGCATGGCAAAACAAACAACCCTCGGCAACTGTCATGTCATGGGAAAAATGTCACTGGTCCACCACCATGGGCGGCTAATCTTGGCACCAGAGCCCGGTTTTCAGCATGTACAGAAAGATGTGTCCATTCTTGATTCGGAAGCACTAACTGGGCATCTTCGTTCGCTCCGGTTCCAGTTGGGCTCCTGCCATTGGCCCACCAAATCGACTTGAAGGCGTCCCTGGGAAGTGCTGTTCAAATTTTCTGGCCGCCATAAGCCCGCTTCTGGGTCCGAAAATTGTCGAGATTTTTGCTAAGTGCTGGAGGGGCGTTTCAGGTTCCGGGTTGGCTTGATCTCAGATTGGAATTTGGTACTTCTATCCAGAACTTGAAGTTGAGATTCAAGCTCCTATTTCTCTGTGGTCAGAGTTTAAACCGGGAATTTCATTTGAACCCTTTGCCGGGCGCGGCGTTTCGCGCGGTAGATTAACTTCAATTACAATAGCTAGCGGTGGGCGCGGAGCGCGAACAGAAGCCTTTCTGCCGCGTGTAATGCCGCGCCTAATTATAGACGCCGCATTTTCTGCGGCGTACATGGGTCTACCGCGCGAAACGCCGCGCCTATTTATAGACGCCGCATTTCCTGCGGCATACGTGGGTCGGAGGCTCCATGTCCAGCCTTTCAACCGCGCGAAATGCCGCGCCTATTCATAGACGCCGCATTTCCTGCGGCGTACGTGGGTCTACCGCGCGAAACGCCGCGCCTATTTATAGGTGCCACATTTGCTGCGGCGTACGGGGTCGGAGGCTCTATGCTGCGGCCCTAAACCCTGAACCCTAAACCAAAAGCAGCAACAGCATGTCTGCTACTTTCATTTTGGGTCCAAACAAACAAAAGCACGTCTCTGCTTTCACTTGAGTCCAGACACAGCAAAAGCACGTCTGCTACTTTCATTTTGGGTCCAGACAAACCAAAGCCACGTCTACTGCTTTCACGTCAGTCCAGACACAACAAAAGCACGTCTGCTACTTTCATTTTGGGTCCAGACAAACCAAAGCCACGTCTGCTGCTCTCACTTCAGTCCAGACACAGCAAAAGCACGTCAACTGCTTCACTTCTAACACAGCAGACCCCTTCCTCTTGTTTTCACTCCAGAAAGCGGACTGGGGGGTTGCCAGCAACCTCCTCAGGCTGCACAAGAGGAGGGTTTACTGTGGCTTCTTGGGTAGGAACAAAAGGTGGCTTAAAAGCAGACATGTTGGCCCACGTCACACCGTCTGAGTCCCCGCAGCTGACCAAACACGGCAAACATGTCTTGTCCACCAGACCACTGCTTAAACTGGAAAAGCCGGACGTGCAAGCGCATGATGTCTTCCATGCGGAGCCCTTGGTCGTCAGAGCTTCCGACAGTGTTGAAAGAGCGTCTGCCAACCACTTTTCGGAAAGCAGCGAAAAACCCATCAACTTTCTGCGTGCCCTCCACTCTAACTTGTTCCTCAAACCTATCGCCTACCCACATGCGAACCTTCATTTTCTTAGAGAATTCAGAATGCGGTGGCCTATGCTTCATGAAAGGCACAGATCACCTTCTGTCAAGCCCAAGCCAAAAACTGCCATATTTCCAAAACAATCTTGAAAGCAACAACAACTTACAGTACACTGCGAACGGTCAACAACAAGTAAAGGTTCTCTACTGAAGCTTGCTTGACCTAAAAGAGAAAAAAAAGGCAAGAGGCGGCGTCGCTCTTCTTTTTCCGCTGAGGTTGCTAAGAAGGATGCGTTGCGAAGCAGGGCATTACCTGCGGCAGCTAAGAAGGATGCGTTGCGAAGCAGGGCATTGCCTGCCGGAGGATCTAGCTGCGGGCACGCGATGCCTTGCTTCAGAACCCCCAGGGCGTGGAGGGCGGGTGAAACAAAAAGTGCTGTAACCGCGGGTCACTGGTGTTAAGTGTTTTCTGTCAGCGCTTTGAACCAGTGCAGCGCGGAGCTAGGGTTCAAAGCAAGGCTTCCGAAGAAAACACTGTTGAACACCGAAAAAAACAAAAGTCACAACAAGCACCCCCTTGCGCGCACCCACAACCACCCCAACTCGACACCCACCAACCACCACTCCCCACCACACCACACATGACCACTCACACCCCATGGCCCTACAAGAGCCCACATCCACCCACCCAACCCGCACCCAGTCTACCGATTCCCCACACACAGCTCTAGACAGGAAGTTGTGAACGTTGAAGTGTCTCATGAGTCCACATGGTCGAGACAGAAGAGTCCGTGCAAGAACCAGCAAACGTCGCACACCGAGCGCTCCTGCAGAGGACAGTGGTGACAACCAGCCACGTTTGGAAGCTTCTTCGACCTCGAATTCTTTTACGAGTTTTGCTTTACATTTTGATTTACGCACCAAGAGGCCATACTCAGGCCCTTCGGAGCGGTGGCTTTACATGCTCTGATGTGAACTTTGAGGCAGATCTGCACGCCTGAAAGGTAACGGTCGACGCTCGACCGCTGTGCACAAAGCTGACAAAGCTACTACTACTACTACTACTACTACTGCTGCTACTACTACTACTACTACTCCTACTACTACTACTCCTGCTGCTACTGCTACTACTACTGCTACTACTACTACTACTACTACTACTGGTAGTACGACGACGACGACTACTACTTACTACTAGCCCCTAAACTCTAAACCGTGATCCCA